CCCAATGAAAAAAGCCACAGCAGCAAACAATACATGAAATGGGCAAAGAACATGAACTGACATCTTAAAAGGTATTACATATCCACAGAACACCTATTAATAATTACATATCAAATAGTACTGTGCCATTTTAACTATTGATTAATAAATATTTATCTTAAAATGTTTAAACTAAATACAATGGCAGAGCTGGCTCAAAAATTATTCTAATATCCCATGGTAGAAATGAAAATTAAGAATGTGTGGGACATGCCTGGCCATGTGAGTGAAGATTTCAAAAAGTGTTCCTATCTTTTTCTCTAATAATTACAGTTCAGATAAACTTAACCGAATAAATTAATTAAAGATGCTCACAAAGATTTATTTTCATGGATGTTTAGTCATAGCATTGTTTATAACTAGAAAAAGTTTGAAAACAACCGAGAGGGGCAACAATAGAGGATTGATTAAATATGATTGATTAAATACTATATTCATATAATGATGAGTTCCTCATAAATTAAATGTGTTTTTGAAGAGTATTTGATTACATGGATAATGTTCACAAAACTTTAAGCACAAAGGACAAACTCATTAAATAAAATTGAATACATGATATGATCAGTTTCAGAACATATTGTACATACGGTCTATAGGTGGGTGCATGCACAGAAAAAATTTAAAACACAAAAAAATTCAATCATTATTTTCAAGAAGTAGAAAATAAGTAGAAATAATTTGGGTAGGTCCAATGATTATTTCTACTTATTTGAAATCTTGATCATGCATTCTTTAATGTCCAGGGAAAACAACAAGAAATAATCTTAAAAATAAAAGTGGATAACATTGAGAATTTTGCAAAAATAATAATTTCATTTGTGGGTTCAAATGAGTATTTCATGTACATGGTGAAATTTAAAAGGGAATACAGGAATCATAGGTTTTCATTGCTCATTTTCATAGCTGTAATATTCTAGCTAAGCAAGTTTGCAACCATGAATACTAGTGAAATCTGAGTAAAGATTTACAATTGAAGACAATTTCTAACATTTCTGTAGGATGTGGTTACACTACATTTTTAGGAAGCATATTATAAGTCTATTTATATTTAAAAGTGATAATCCACTTACTAGGAATCTCACAATATTATTAGAAGAGATGAAGGGACAATGCCTCTCATTTCTGTCATATTGATAGTAGCCTTTTCAGGAATATCTCCCCTCTCTGTGTTCTGCAAATTATTGAAATCTTGCCCCTGGGACAGTGATAGTTCTTGCTAAAAGACACATAGAAAAATCTCCAGTTCTCATGAGTGAATCTTCCACTGAAATCTTCTCTTCTGCTGATTTTAACCATGAACTGTATTCTGGGGTGCCGTCTTTTTCATTGGCAATAAGAGTGTGTTTCCAATTCTTCTATAGAGAAAAAAATTTTCTAATGTACCATGATGCCTAGCATGAAATTCCTTTGACTATAACTGAAACATAAAAATCTGAGGATCATTTCTTATGGTTTCAGCTCTTGGTTAGTTTGGGGTTTTGCTTATTTTAACCTCAATGTCTGGTCTGAGCTTTCTCCAAGCTGCTTGATAATTCAGAGAGTCAACCTACAAGGCTGAGAAATGTGTGGGTAGTGGATGCTGACCTGTTCCTAGGGGAAGAGAGGATGCATCTACCTGCCTAGAAAAAAACCTTTAAAGTTTCAACCCTCAAGGGCTGCTTCGTTTACTTTGGAACACTCTTATTATCATACAGAAAATAAGTGCTATAGATTTTCTATGTTGATTCTAGAATGAATAAATAATTAGAGATTTACAGGAGCAGTCGTCATTCAGATTTAAGCTGGACTAAGGATTTTTCTCAGTTTTCATACTAAAATAGCTTCAAAAATATGTGTATAATTTAGATAGGGCTTAATAATTTCCAAAGTTCTTCTATATCTTATGCCAACTTATTCTCTCAATTAACAAGTGAAGTAGGGAAGACTGTGTCATTATCATCATTCCCATGTAAGGAAGAGGAGAAAGAGATTCAGAGACGAGTGTTTTTGCTCAAGGCTACAGAGTTGCCGGCAGAGGAGAAAAGCTTCTAATCCAGGTCTTCTGACTCTTCCTGTTGTACAACACTTTATCATTAGACACCAAAACATCCAAATGAAATTGCATGAAATAGCAAATGTCCAGTGTGGATATTTTTTATTGCTTGTTTTGTAACTCATTAGTACTTCTTATAAAATAGGAAATCCTCCACTGTGCCAAATCCCTTGATATCATATCATAAATCAGTGATTTTTAAGAAAATTAAGTTTAATACATGCTAAGTACTTACATATATCAATTTGCAGTTTTATGACTCATTTCACAAACCACACTTTGCATCTTCCTGAGTAGAATATTTTTTAAAAGCATTTAACTCCATGGAATCAAGGAATGACTCAGTGCCTGGATATACTTGCAGAATTAAATTCTTTGGAACTGTAACCGGTAGTAGATACTGACCTGTAATTCTCAGTTCCTAAACAGACTCTCAAACAAGAGTGTAATTGTGTTAGTCAGCTTTTTGCCACTGACAAGAAAAACTTAGAGGAAGAAAAGTTCATTTGGGGTTTATGGTTTCAAAGGTCTCAGTCCCTGGTTGGCCAACTCCATTGCTATGGACCTGATGTGAGGCAGAACAACATGGTTGAAGGGCACAGCAGAGGAAAGCTGCTCAGCTCATGGCAGCAAAGAAGAAGATAGACAGACAGACAGAGACCAAGACACAGAGAGTGAGCAATGAACCAGGGACAAGACAGAGTCTCCAAAGTCACGCTCCCAGTGACCTACTTCCTCTAACTACACTATCAACCTATATTTAACACCAAGTAGTCCATTCATCTAGGAATGGATTAATCCAGCAAATGGATTAATCCACTGGGGAGGTCAGAACCCCACTCGTTGCCTAAAAGTCCCACCTCTGGACCTGCTTGCTTTGGGGATCATGCTTTTAAAATATGATTATACACACCTGTAGTCCCAATGAGGCAGGAGGATCACAAATTCAAGGCTGGTCTCAGAAAGTAAGACTCTCAGAAACTTAGTGAGACCCTGTCTCAAAATAAAAAAGTAAAAAAGTTTGGGGATGTAGCTCAGTGGTAAAGTACCCCTGAATTCAATTCCCAGTAAAAAAAAAAGTAATGGGAGTGAGTTTTCAGGGGACATTTCAGATCTAAACCATAACAATAATCATCTAAAATAAGTTTTAAGGTGATATGAGAAACTAAAGTTGATGGGAAATGTAATAAGAATCTGAGAGAAATTTCCAATGAGGCATCCAGAGCTGGATCAAGGAAGAGCTTATCCAGGCTCCAGCTCTTTGATATAGGCCCAATCTGAGAAGAAACTTGTATTTCTCCTTCCATTTATTTCTTGACCCAGAGAGCCAGGAACTGTATCAATGAACCAGAAAGCATCTGCTGATTATCAGTGCTTCTCTGGGAGCTGGCCAAGGCACTGTGCCTCACTTTTGTATATTTATTCATGGAAAGCAACCGAGGAAAAAAATGTAAGACATGAGAGATGTGAGAACGTTTATTGCAGTAAACATTCTAAAAGGAATCTTTAAAGAACTCCTTCAGGTCAGATCATATAGGACAAGCACTGGGGAGAGACTGTTTCATAGGAAAATAGTAAGGTTCCAGGTGATGGAAGAAACTGCTAGGGGACTTGACTTGGAAAGGAAATTATGTATCTATTGACCTCTAGTTGATGACAAATCTGATAAGCAAAATTGTTGCTCATCTGAGAAGTGGGATAAGAGTAACCAATTTATTTTCAAATCTGGATTGACTTGATTTACCAGGAAGGCAGATGAAGAGATCAAAACATAATTAAATGAGGGTAGAAGTAAGTCAAGGCAAAACAAGGGGAAAGATCTGTTACTCTGAAGAGTCAAGGGTAAGTGAGAAAGTAATTAACTGTAGGAATCAGAATAATACTTTATTAAACCTGGCTTCCTCATTGGAAAGCAAGAAAGCAGAGTGTCCGAGAGACAGTAAAAAAGCTATAAGAAAATTGTAAGCTAAACACAAAAGACAATAGAACAAGTCATAAAGGGATATGAATAACATGACAGGGGCTTGAAGACAAATATGCAGTAAGAGAGCTAAACATGTTCTGGCAATGGTGGGCCAGATTGCTTGGATCAGTCCCCTTGCAGAGAACAACTAGCAAAGCTAGACAAAATATCAACTATGTGTATTTGAAGACATTGTCTAGCTCCTAAAATAGAAGGGATTTGCAGGACTCAAGGTCTGGAAAAGAAGCAAACCTTGCATTTGGCACTGCTTTTCTCTTCAAGAAAGTTGCTGATTGCTTAGAGGCTGAGGAATTGATCAGAACTTATGGAGGCCTCATAGGGCTGGTGGTATGAAAAATGAAGTTCAGAGTCCACTGAACGGGAGAGGCCCTGGTCCACGTTTAGCTTCTGGTGGGGAATCATGAATAGAAATCTAAGAATAAAGATAACTCAGAGAGCAGACCTCTATAACAGGGGTCAACAAACTTTCTCCTTTTTTTTTTTTTGCAGGAGGTGGGGAGTAAAAGGCCAAATAATAAATAAGATTTTGCAGACCACATAGACTGTGTTACAGTGACTTTACTCTGCTTTTGCAGCAAGAGAGACATGGACAGTATGCAAACAGATGAGCCTGGTTTTGTGTCCAATAACATTCTACCTGCAAAAACAGGCCTAGAAACCTGTTCTTCATTGGAACATGGAATTGTTGAGTAGATTTTGGCTACTGTGCTGAGGCCAGACAAGCAGCTATGTAATAGACACTTGAATAATGGTGAGAGGTGACGACAAGGAGAGATTCAGGGAACTTTTGAAGCAGTTTGGGATTACTCTTTGTATGCCAGGCAGAAAAATGACCCACTCAAAGATGTCCAAATTCTAATTCCCTGTGGGAGCTGTGTATATGTTATTACATGGAAAGGGGAGTCAAGGTTGCCAAAGACAAGAAACTGATTTTGAATTTTGCAGGTGGCTCCAAAGGAATCTGAGAGTAGAAGAGGGAGGCTGAAGAGTGGGAGTCAAGGAAGGAGATGTGATTATGGAAGCATCATTGTGTGATGTGAGAAAACCTTGACTGGCCATTGCTGACTTTGAAGATGGAAGAGAACCACAAGACAAAAAATGCTAGCAGCCTCTGAAAGCTGGAAAATGCAAGAAGATGGAAGATGCTCTCCCAAAGCCTCCAGAAAAAAACAGCCTTTTTCTCAGCAAGGTCCATTTTGGACTTGTGACCTGCAGATTTGTAAGAGAATAAATTTGTTTTATTTTAAGCCACCAAAATTTGAGGCCACTTGTTGCAGCAGGAATAGGACACTAATATGCTCCTCATACCTGAGGGTGGTGCCTACAAGTGAGATAGCAGGGAACCTATGGACTAGGAGAAGAAGGAATGCTGAACTGGACAATCAGGCTGGAGTCAGTTCTTTGCAGCTCAATTATGCAAACTAATGAGCTATCAGTTTTCTAAATTCTATATTCTAGAAATTAGGATCAGCAACAATTACCCTGCTATTATTCATAATCCTTAATGATTTATGTTTCTTTATTCACCCAGCCCCCATCATTTCCATCCTGCTGTTCATGTGCTGAGATTGTGACATAAAATACACAAGTGAACATTGCTTCTTATGCAAAAAGAAGTCTACCTACATGACCTGAAGCTGATTAGGTCTCATTACATATAAATTCATAAAGTGGCAACAGTGGCAGGATTTGACCTTTGCAGGCACAAGATGGTGGCATGAAGGGCAAAAGGGAGAAAAATGAAGGTTACCTTGCAGAAGTCCTTCAATTTAGAAAAATAGAATATTAAAATGGGACACATCCTCCCCAAATTTTAGTTAAGGCATAAAGACAGTAGATGGTATTTCCTAAAGTGTTGGAGGGAAGTACTTTACAGGAGTAAATAACACTTACATATTGAGGATAAATGAGGGTATATTTATTAGAATCTGGAGAAGATTGTGTACAAATTTCTTTGTGTAGCCCTCTGATTCCTAATGCACTCAGGAGGGTGAGGGGCATGAGACCCAGGTTTAGTTGGGGTGGGGGAGAGCAGATTTTTCCTGCATTTGGTGTACTCTATGGACTGATTCTTGACCTATGCCGGAGAGATGTTATCTGAAGCTGCTAGTGGAAGCAGAATAGAGGAAAAATCTGAAAAGCAATGCATTTCCTTGTGACAGTGGGCCAAAGGTATGCAAATCCTGAGGAACTGGCATGGAATCCATGTGTATCATAAGAATGTTGGTTTAGGGTCATTTAAAAATATATTTTATCCAAAAAGGTACCTGCCTGTCTAGGTAGTGGAGGCTTCTCACAGACAGAAGCTGAAGGTGATCTATTGGGTGCGGAAACTGAAGGATATTTGTGATAGTGAGCTGAAGGAGGACCTGCCAGGTCAAGAGAATTGCAGGTAGGAAGAGCCAGCAGGAAGTCACCAAAGGATCCTATTCCTATTGTTTCATTGCCTGTCCCTCCTCTGAACCCAGAAAGTCAGCAAAAGGAGTAGTGACTGCCCCTAAAACCTGATGAGAGCCCCTGAAGGGCCCTCAGAACCAGGAGTGCTTCCTTGGCCAGGTCATCTGAAGGCAGGCCATGGCTGCTGTTCAAAGCAGGAGAAAAGGGGAAGGAGAGGATGAAAGGCTAGGCTGGGGCTGGAGTTGTGTATCTGAAGCTCATGGGACAAGACTGAAGGCATGGGACTTGCAAGATTCCCCAGGGAACTTCCCACCCTCCCTCAGAGAGGAGGAATACAGAGATTAAGTCTGTGGGAAATGCCACTAATGAAATGGTGGGAAATAGTGTAGGAGTTCATTTTAAATACCACGGGAAGCCACTCATCAAGCCTTCTTTCTGGTCAAAGACTCCCATTTATGAAGCCTCTGCCAGACATCAGGGTTCCAGTCTGTGATCATGTAAGAGGTCATGGGTCAAGGCCACCTAGTAATTATGTCCATAAGCTTGATGTTACCCGTCCAGAACTAAAGAATGAAGTCATTCAGCCAGAGATGTAAAAGTGAGTAGAATGACTAGGGAATTAACTTTGGGTTGTTTATTAATCTTTGGACTCACAGTCTCATTTGCTCTGATTATGAAGAGTAGTACTGCCACCAGTGCCTTCTAGAATAAAAGTCAATGACAATAACTTTAGTAGCATTAACTACAATTTACTAGTCTACACTCTTCCGGGCCCTGGCAAGGCCTTCTTTGCACAGTATTGTTAATCTTCCCTGGAACAAAAAGAAGAGAACATGTATTGACCAAGGACATGAATTAGGTCATGGCACAGAATTCTTATTTCCCATGCATAGCATCAGTGAATGGTCTGTTCCAGCCTATTAATTATTTAAATAGTTATTATCTATGTTTGTCCTTCTTGCTTGAAATGAAAACTGCTGACCTAAGCTTCCCTGCATACCATTTTGAAGCAATTCAGAGAGTGTGTGCTAAACATTTTTTTTTTAGCAGAGAAGAAAGGAGAGGATGATCTTACCATAAGCCAGCCAGCATGCCAGTCGTTTTTACATGAATTGTCTCATTTAATTTTGACAACAAACTTATAAAGTAGATATTTTACCTTCACTTTATAAATGAAAAGAGCAAGGTCACTAAGTTAATAAGTGGTAGGGCTCTGGCTAAAATTCCATTGTCTCATTTCATAACTTAGAATATAAAATATAGGCCTATATTCTTTTCAGAACACCATTCAGGAAGTGCTTTCTATACCATATCCCATTTTACTTCTCCATAGGCTCATGAAGCAGGTAAGAATTAAATGTTACAATGCTGATTTTATAGACTGAGCATTGGTAGAAGTGAGCATAAAAGGCAGCCTACATAACTTAATGAGCCAATGGATTTTACCCCTAAGAAAATTAGATGTGATCTGGCAGGTGTGTTATTTTTCAGCTATGTCTGGGTAGACAGAAAACAATGCCCTCCTCTCCCCGAGATTAATTTACTTCTTAATCCCTGGAACCTGTGAATATTACCTTACTGGGAAAAATTTTGAATATTACCTTATGGGGCAAAAGATAGGATTCAGGTAAGGATCTTGAGATGCAGAATTTATCCACATTACTTGGGTGATCTTCGGTGAATCCATATGTGTTCTTATTAAAAAGAAAAGAAAAGGGCAGAAACAGGTTGTAGAGTTTATGAACAGGTGTTCATAATAGCAATTTCAGAAGGACAATAGAGAGAAAGGAGGTTAATTTAAAAAAAAAGATAAAAAGAACATTTCATATAGCTGAATAAAACTATAAATTTTAAATAGAAAGACATCCCCAAGAGACAGGTAGGACAAATTTTAAAAGAATCTCACCAAGTTTTAGGACAATAAAAATTAAATGAAAATCCTAAAAACTTTCAGAGGAAGAAATATATTTCCTACAAAGGCACACAATTTGATTTACAGCACACATTTCTATATTCCAAAAGACAATGAAAAATGCCTTAAATATCCTTAAGTAAAAACGATTTTGAAGCAAACTTCCTGCTTTACCTAAATTTGCATGTAGGTAGAGGAGTTGAACTCTGGCCTGTATATATCTCAAAAATATAACCACTCATAGAACCTCCTTGAAAGAGTAACTGAGGAGCTGGGTGTGGTGGCACAAGCCTATAATCCTAGCAGCTTGGGAAACTGAGACAGGAGGATCATGAGTTCAAAGCCAGTCTCAGCAATGGCGAGGCTAAGCAACTCAGCGAGACCCTATCTCTAAATAAAACATAAAATAGGGCTGGGGATGTGGCTCAGTGGTTGAGTGCCCCTGAGTTCAACCCATGGTACCATCCCTCTCCCCCGTGTAACTGAGGATATGCCAGTAAAACAAACACTCCAAAAAGTACACATGGGAAAAGTACAGGGTACACAAAGAGCAAATGTAAAACTATATTGTTGGGCTATATAATGGCCAATGAATAGTGAAAAAAGAACCATATAATATCAATACAGGAGGTTGTAGAGGCTAAGAAAGAAATGTAAAAATGTGATGATGTTATTGCTTTGTTAAAGGGAAGATTTTACTACTAAATAACAAAAGATATTGACAGAAAGAAATAAATTGAAATAAGTATACAATGTTAAAGGTAGTCATCCAAGGATGCAGGGATACCTAATAAAAGAAAAAATGCAACATTAGTCAATTCTAGAAAAAAAAATCAAGAAAGGGTAAAAATTCTAATCACAGTGAAAAGGAAAGAGAAAGCAATTGCTAAGAATAGGTTCCAATGTATCCTCCATAACAATATGCATGGATTACATTTCCATATTGAAATGTAGAAATGTATATTGCAGAAAAAAATAGTTCAAGTTCAGATTGTTTAGAAAAAAATCCATCAAAAGATAACAAAGAATTGTTCAGAATTACTAACCAGTAATTCTGATGCTACATAAATTGCTTTCATTTCATAGATAAAGTGTTTTTTGTGTTTTTTTTTTGGGGGGGGGGTGGGGGGTTGTTTTTGTTATTTCTACTGGAGATTGAATGGAGGGATGCTTTCTCACTAAGCTACAGCCTCAGTCTTTATTTTTTAAAAAATTTTAAAATTTTAAGATAGGGTCTCAATAAAGTGCTGAGGCTATCTTTGAACTTATGATTCTCCTCCCTCAGCCTCCCAATCATTGAGTATGCCATTGTGCCTGATTAAAATTCAGATATGTTTTTTTCTTTTTGTGATGCTAGGAATTGAACCCGGTGTCTGTGTGTGTTAGGCAAGCACCCTACTACTGAGCTACATTCCCAGCCTCAAAAAGTATTTTATTTTTTTTACTTTGGTCTATGAAGGTTGCATAATTACACAGACAGATGTACACACACACACAGAATTATGAACCAATATTATTTATGAAATGGAGGGAGAAGACTTCCTAAAATACTAATAAAATCTAATAATGTCTTATAAGAAAATAAAAATCCTTATCAATGGTTTATTCTGAGAGATTCTTGAATTATCAAGCATTAGTTTCTTTTCTCGGGGAGGGGGGTGGGGAGGTGGTACCAGGGATTGAACCCAGGGGCACTCCACAACTGTGCCACATCCCTAGCCCTATTTTGTATTTTATTTAGAGATAGAGTATCACTGAGTTGCTTAGCTCTTTGCTTTTGCTGAGGCTAGCTTTGAACTTGTGATCCTCTTGCCTCAACCTCCCAAGCTGTGCCACCACACCCAGCTGGAGCATTAGTTTCTATTAATGAAAATCATTATGTTAACAGATTATAAAAAGGAGAAAACAT